CCTAAGGCACTTGACTGCTAACCAGAAGGCTGGTGGTTCAAACCCACCAGCCACTCCTCAGAAGGAAGGTTGGGCAATCTACTTCCGTAGTGATACCTCCTCGGAGACCCAAGGAGGGGTCGCTGAGTCGGGTCGGACTCAACGGCACATAACAACAACGACCACCACCAATGTTAAGCATGAGGAAGCTGGTATAGCTATTTTAATATCAAGCAGAGTAAATTTAAGACAAAGTGCATTACCAGAGATAAAGAGGTTCAGTTCACAAAAACAAAAAGACCAAGAGGATATTAAAATCTTGTATGTTTATGCACCAAATAACACAGCTTCAAAATACATAAAGCAAAAATGACCTATCTAAAGGAAGAAATAGACAAGTGTATAATCATAGTTGGAGGGATGGAGAGTGAAGAGACATACAGACAAAGAGACAGAGACACAAAGGGAAGGACAGACAATGAGACACAGAGACCCAGAGAGCCAGACTGAGGAAGACAAACACAGCCTGATCCTAAGAGGCTGACGGGTCCCAGAGACAGACACTGAAGGAGAGGAGATGGAGACCAGGCAGGGAGAGTCAGGGTCTCTGGTCACAGAGGATGGAGCCAGAACAGGGGTCAGGGCCTGTGGGATCCTGGAGGGGAAGCTGCAGGGAGAAGGCCATCACTCACCCGCTGCCCAGCGGAGCCTCGGGGACCAGGCTCCCCACGCAGTCCCTGTATGGAATGGAGGAGAAGAATAGAGTCAGCTGGGGAAGGTCTGACCTGCGGTCCCAGGATTCCCCAAAACCCCCCACCTGAGGTCACCTGGGTACTTACCCGCTCGCCTTTCTCTCCTAGGCGGCCGGAAATTCCTTCAGGGCCAGTGGGGCCTGGGGGTCCCTGAGGAACAAGACAGAGCCTCAGCTTTGTGCTGGGGTGAGGCAGAAAGAGCAGGAGGCTGGGAGACACAGGGGTGGGTGAGGGCCCCCATCTTGGCTTGGGCCTCCGAGCTCTTCACATGGCCAGTGCCTGGCACACAATCGGAAGATCCTATAGCTCAGTGCAAAGGTCTGGCACCAGAGCCAGACAGTCCCCAGGGTGATCTGGAGGCTACCATGTCCTGGACGGCCCTAGGGTCAGAACTCCAACTTTCTTGGCCTCAGGTGATATGAATACTTGCCTCTTCATATATGGATTGAATCAGAAGATTTATGGAAAGTAATTCCATAACAAGTAACAGATGATTACTGAATGAATGAGAGCATGGATGGATGGGTGGGTGGGTGGATGGACGAATGGATGCATAGATGGATGGCTACATGGGTGAATGTGTGGGTGAGTAGGTGATAGATGGATGGGTGGGTGGATAGATGGTGTGTGGGTGGATGGATGGGTGGATGGATGGATGGATGGGTGGGTGGGTGGATGGACGAATGGATGCATAGATGGATGGCTACATGGGTGAATGTGTGGGTGAGTAGGTGATAGATGGATGGGTGGGTGGATAGATGGTGTGTGGGTGGATGGATGGGTGGATGGATGGATGGATGGGTGGGTGGACAGAGGAATGGATAGACACATAGATGTCTGTCTACACATGGGAGAATGGGTGGGTGGGTGGTGGATGGATGGAAGGGTGGGTGGATGAATGGGTGCATAGATGGATGGCTACATGGGAGAGTGGGTGGGTGGCTGGTGGATGGATGGAAGGGTGGGTGGATGAATGGATGCATAGATGGATGGCTACATGGGAGAGTGGGTGGGTGGCTGGTGGATGGATGGATGGGTGGGTGGATGAATGGATGCATAGATGGATGTCTACATGGGAGAAAGGGTGGGTGGGTGGGAGGGAATATCTGGAGAACTACTCACCATGTGTCCAGGACTCCCAGGGAGGCCCATGGGACCAGGAGGCCCAGGAGGACCTGGAATAAATGAAGTGTCCTCAAGGCTGGTACAGAGTACAATGCCAGGAAATCCACCATCAAATCCTTCCTGGTTGCCACACCCCAAGTCCCTCTGCCATCTCCAAGTCCCATTCCTTATCTTAGGCTTAGAATCAACTTACCCATGGGGCCTGGGGGGCCTGGGGGCCCAGTGGGTCCTTGGGGCCAGTGGCTGCTGGTCTCAGTGAAGGTGTTGGATAGTAATGGGTCCCCTGGGGGAAGAGAGATGGCGAATGAGTCAGGGCTGGCTGTGTGGGGCAGGGCAGAGTCTTAACTTTCTACCTCTGTCAAGTCAGGTGTGGCTGTATTGGGGGTGGCTTGCAGTGCAGCTGGGGCCACCATGCACCTAATCCAAGGGCAAAGGGTTGCAGAGGAGCATTGGTCAACAGGACAGCGGGAACTGTAGGCAGGGAGACACGGGTTCTAATCCCACCAGTCTAGCTGGTGGGATTTCCCATGTGAAATGGGAGTAAGTAAAGCTACCATTTATTAAACACCTACTGTGTGCCAGGCTCCTGTGCATGGCTGTCACAGAGCTCTGGGAGACTGGCGCTGTCACCATCCCCACTGTATAGATGAGGAAACTGAGGCTTGGAGAGGGACAATAAAGATGGGATTGAACCTGGCATAACAAGCTCCGATCCCAAGCAAATAGGTGTACCTGTGGGTCAGGTGGGGTGCACCTGAGGGAGGAGGCCCAGCTGGGTGGAGGGGTGGGCCTTGAGGAGCACAAGGCCCCACTGCAGCCTTGGCAGCTCAGGCCTGGCTTCCTGTTGCTGGGCCTTGAGTTTCCTGGTGCTCTGAGGGTTGGATCCTGGCCAGCTCCAAGGCTTGGTGGGATGGCCTGAGCTAGGTGGTTCTGAGCACAGGCTCTAAAGCCACCTGGGTCTGACCTTCTCTGGCCCTCAGTTTCCCTCTTCTGTGCACAGAGAACAATAACACCTGTTGGAAGATTAGCTGACATGTGGCCTATCAAGGGCAAGCCAGGCATATAGTTGGCATCGAGGAAGTACTAATGGAGTCTATGGTGGTGGTATTCCAGCCTCCTTTCCCCTCCCTTTGGAGCTCTGGTAGCATAGTGCCTAAGGCCTTTGACCGCTAATCAGAAGGATGGCAGTTCAAACCCACCAGCCACTCCTCGGAAGGAAGGTGGGCAATTTACTTCCATAGTGATACCACCTCGGAAACCCAAGGAAGGGTTGCTATGAGTCGGAGCTGACTGGACAGCAGTGAATTTGGTTTGGTTTTTGGTCTCCCCTCCCCATGACGTGCACGACCCCGTAGGACTCACCATGCTCAGAGATCCGGGCGTGGGGTGGTCCAATAGGGGTTGGGGGGCCAGGAGGGCCAGGAGGCCCAGGGGGTCCTGGAGGGCCCCTCTCTCCAGGGCTGCCTACAGCTCCATCCTGGCCAGGGCTTCCTGGGGGGCCCTGTGGACCTGCAACAGAACCACAGGTGTACAGAAGACACAAGCCCAGGGGCTGAGGGCAGGACAAGGCAGCAGATGGGAGAGGGTTCCTGAGTCCACAGGCTTGGGAAGGTCTGGGCTCTGTCCCCACTGAGCGTGGGCCTGTTTCCATACCTATTAGGTGGATAGACACATCCCTCTTCAGGGTCTTTATGAGAATGGAGACTTGCCACACCAAAAAAAACCCCAAAAAACCCAAACTCATTGCTATCAAGTCAAGTTCAACTCCTGATGACCCCATGTGTGTTAGGATAGAACTGGGCTTCCTACGGTTTCTTTATGGAAACAGTTCTTCCTTCTGTGGAGTTGCTGGCATGCAACAGGCGTTTAATAAACATTGATTTCCAGAATGTTCTCTTCCGCTAACTTCCAGGTTTTGTATGAGGCATTCCCTTTATTAGCTCTTCCTTTGCTGTGGCTGGTACAAAGTTCAGGCACCCTTCAGGTTCAGCTAAGATGTCACCATGCTAGGAAGCCCTGCCTGACTTCCACCCACCCAGGCTATGGCTGGGCTTCCCTCCTTGGGGCTCCCATACCCCTGACATCCTCCGTCACAGCCCCAATTCCATGAAATGGACACTGCTCTTTTTCTGCTGTCCCCCACGCCCCCTCCCCCAGCTGGCCTGGGAGCTCCAGCTGGGCAAGGACTGGTGGGACCCACTCTGAGCTGGGTTTCAAGCCCCAGGCACATGGGCAGAGTGAATGCAAAGCAGGTTCCAGGGAGCCCCAAGCGTGAGGGGTAGTAAGCAAAGAGAAGGGAGAGCAGAAAGGCCCAGACTACCTCCGGCTATGTCAGAGTCAGGGAAGGAAGGTTCCCACCTGAGTGTCCCTGGGGGGCTGGCAAGCGGAGCTGGGGGCAGTCTTCCAGAACTCACCTGGCAGGCCTCTCATCCCTGTTGGGCCTGGGCTGCTGGTGTCTCCCTTGGGGCCAGTGGGCCCAGGCATCCCCCGAGCACCCACTCGATCTGGGGGTACAAGCACATGAGGTTGGCAGCTCTGGCCTTGTTCTTGCCCCCACCCCACTCTCTCAGTCTGCACCTACCTTCTCGTGGGAGTAGTGGGGCCCTCACACTCTCTCTGGCTCCCAGTGGCCCTGGGACAGGGAGTAGGCGGGGGTCAGTGTCTCAGCTGGGCCTGGGTGAGGGAGAGTCACCCATAGGCCCTGAAACCATAGGGTCCTCTGGGCTGCTAGACTTCCCAGGATGTCAGTGCTCAGGGATCCCTGGAGGCCATCCCCTCAGCCCACTGGAAAGCTGGGAAGACTAAGGCCCCACACGAGGGTCAAACTGAAAGTCAGCAGGTGGGGGGGGACCCACAGTGTCATGCCCCTGAATCCCAGGCCAGTGCACTTTCTCCCAGAGGGGTGTGCGTTCCATCCCTGACCCACTCACCTTGGACACCTCCATCCCCTGGACTGCCCTGGGCAGCTGGGGAGCCCCAGAGTGGGGTCGTGTCTTTGGGGACAGTTGGGGCTTGAGGGACTGTCTTCTCCATGACAGTTAGCATAGCCACCTGTGGAGGAAGGGGGAGACAAGGTTGGTGTCAGGGTCAGGCAGGCCAGCTGCAGGGGGAGACTGGGAGGGCCAAGGGGTCCCAGTGCAGGCGGTAGAGGGGAAGGTCCCCTATAGCTAGCAGAGCTCAACTCAGGGTGGTGACCTGGGCTTGCAGGGGCCTGGAACTTTATCAGAAGTGACTGTACTTTCAAGATTTGCACGCATACTAACATTCACTGTAGAAAAATCATCACACTTCATCACCAACAAAAGAGATACAGGTCCCGGAACGCTCTCCTGCTGAGGGTTGAGCTCTGTGAATATCTTGGTATTTGCTTGGTTTTCTGCATTTATCTAAAGGAGCTCTGGTAGCACAGTGCCTAAGGCATTTGACTGTTAGCCAGAAGGTTGGCAGTTCAAACCCACCAGCCACTCCATGGAAGGAAGATGGGGCAATCTACTTCCATAAAGACTTACTGCCTTGGAAACCCAAGGGTTCTGACACTACGAGTCAGAACCAATTCAATGGCAGTGAGTTTTTTTTTGTTTGTTTGTTTTTGACACCTATCTAAATAAATAATATAAAGCTTTTCTTTTCTGTTAAAAGCTTCACAGGGTAATGGCTGGAAGGCTTCTCTCTAAATTTGGAGGGAAATCTTGCAGGGGTGACATGAAATAAAGGCACCATGGAATCCTTGAGTGGGGCAAACACTTAAGCACTTGACTACTAACTAAAAGTTCAGCGGTTCAAACACACTCAGAGGTGACTTGGAAGAAAGGTCTTGTGACCTGTATCCACAAAGTCACAGCCTTGAAAACCCTATGGAAGAGCACAGGGTCACCAAGAGTTGGTGGTGTTGGCAAAGAATGCTCAAAGTACCACGGACCATCAGAAGAACGAACAAATCTGTCCTGGAAGAAGTGCAGCCAGAATGCTCCTCGGAAGTGAGAATGGCCAGACTCCGTCTCACCTACTTTGGTCATGTTGTCAGAAGGGACCATTCCCTGGAGAAGAATATCATGCTGGGTAAAGTGGAGGGTCAACGAAAAAGGGGAAGACCCTCAACAAGACAGACTGACACAGTGACTGCAACGATGGGCATAGCAAGGACTGTGAGGATGGCGTAGGACCCGGCAGTGTTTTGTTCTATTGTACACAGGGTTGCTATGAGTCAGCGTTGACTCGACGACACCTAACAGCATAACAAGAGTTGGAACTGACTCTATGGCCAGTGGTGGTGGGAGTGTACACAAGGCACTTTATGGGCCCAGTTGTCAATGACCACTCTCCATCTCGAGCTGCTGATCGAGGATCAAGTAGGCCAGACTGACTGCTGACAAGGGAGGGGGGTCTTGTGTAGCCTGTCCAGACAAAAGCTGAAACTCAACGCCCAGACAGGCCCTGAACTGAGAACAGCAACCTTGGATCTGGGACTGAGCTGTCTCTCATGGGGCTTCCCCCAGGAAAGACCTCGGGGAGAAGCCGTGGGGTCCCTGTGCCTCACAACTCAGGGGCTAGCACATGCTGTTCAGAAGCTTGCTTATTCCACTTGATAAATCAGGGATGGAAAATGGAGGAATTTTGAATAGCTGCCTGGTACATTCCAGAGAATGGATGCTCCACGACAGATACCCACCCCTCCTGTTGCTTGGTTTCCCCACTTCTCCACTTCTAGTTAATATTTCCATAGACGTCTTCACAATGAATCATCTCCTTGCTATAGACTGAATTGTGTCTCCCCAAAATACGTGTTGAAATCCTAATCCCTGTATCTGTGGGATGTGATGTAATGTAATGATCTTCCATAACGCAATCTGATGCAATGTAATCAATCAATCAATACCAGTGTAGAGTGGATTCTAAACCTAATCACTTCTGAGTTATCCAAAGAACAGATGCAATGAGAGGATGGTCTACAAGCCAAAGACCCAAAGGATGCCCAGGACTACCTACAGGGAAAGACTGACATGGCCGAGACCCTGCTTTGGACTTTTAGCCTTCAGAGCTGTGAGAAAATAAACTTCTGTTCTTTAAAACCACCCCCTTGTGATATATTTGTTACAGCGGCTCTAGGTGACTAGGACACCCTTAACTTTCCAGAGGAGGGAATGGTGGTGCAAGGGCAAACAAAATATACATGCTTCCATGTACATTTAGAAAATCTGGGAGAAAAGTTACTAACGTGCTAACAGTTGCTCACTCTAGGGGCACGAAAACCAAAACTAAACTCACTGCCATCAAGTAGGTTCCAACACACAGCGACCCCAATTGGGTTTCCAAGGCTGTAAATCTTTACAGAAGTGGACTGCTTCATCATTCTTCCATGGAGTAGCTGGTGGGATCGAACCTTTTGGTTAGCTGCCCAATGCCTTAACTACTATACCACCAGAGCTCCTTCTAGGCACATAGGTGGTGGCTATGAATAATTTTCTGATAGATTTTCCATGTTTCTGAGTTTCACATATCTAAACTTAGAAAGTCTTACTTTTCAATCTTTCTAAACTTTTTATTTGGAAATAGTTTGAGATGTGCAGTACATGATTTGACTTTGAGACTGGGAATGGCATATCGTGGGGAGTAAGGGAAGAAGGTGATGGGTGGAAGGGGGGTGGGGTTCGGCCCTGGAGGTATCTGGGATTGAGATGAAGGGGTGATCAGAGTGGGCTTCCTGGAAGAGGGGCTTGAGGAAAGGTATGCCTGGAGAAGTAAGGGTGTGGAGGGAAGCTGCCTGGGTGCACTGAGGAGAGGGCCAAGTATCTGTGAGCAGGCATCCCCAGGGAGGAGCACTGGAGGAGAGGTGGGAGGGGGCATCAGAGTGGGGCCCTGGAGGGTGGAAGTGTTGAAGTTCACCTCAGAGGTGCACTGTGGGGACCTGAGCAGGCTGGGCAAAAACAAAGAGGGGGGGAGTCCCGGGGGAGGCTGTGTCCTGCCTGGCCCTGGGGCAGGAGGCCACAGGGATGCTGCTCACCCACCTTGGCCTCCAGCACCTTCAGCCGCTCAGTCAGTTCCAACACTTTGCTGCAGTTGAGACAACCTGTGGAGAGGGAGGAAGCTAGGGCTAGGGTCAGGGGCTCCTGGCTCCCCTTCAGAGCCCCTCAGCCCCCTGGGGGTCAGGAGCGAGGAGGCAGACCCCTGATGACCTCAAGCCCTGAGGAAACAGACCCAGTGCAGGAAGGGCCTATGGTGTCAGTCTAGGCCGGGGTGGGCTAAGCCCTGTGGGGAACCGGCCTCATTTCTTTTGACTGTGGAGTCTCCAGTGGGGGCCCGCTTCTCCCAGAAATGGAGCAGGAGCTGCACCTGGCAGCCTTTGCATCCAAAATGACCCCTCTCCCGACAGCCGGGGCCGGAAATCCTGTTACTTGCCACCTGGGAGGGGCCGGGTCTGGGCTTGTGGGCTTTGGGGACCACAGTCTGCCTGGGCTGGCCTCAGTGGTGCCAGCCTTTCAGCCTTCCTCCGGAAGCACGCCCTCACGTCATGTCCAGCTCTTCCGGCTTCCTCAGTGACACACTGATGTTATGACTGATAGCTCTGGCCCCTGACAGCACCTCTTAGCTGCCAGGCACTGTGCCAGGCATTCGACAAGCCTTTCTCCCAGGTCCTAGGACAATCCTGCATGTTAGGATCAGGGTCATCCCCACTTCACACCTGAGGACACAGAGCTCAGGGTGAGTACAAAGCCTGAGCCTAAGTCCCCGTGCTGCCCCTGCCGGCTGTAGGGCCTCAGGCAGGAATGTTCCTTCTAACCTTCAGCTTCCTGCTGTTTAACACGGGGACAATGACACCTTCCTGGGGTCACTGGGTGGTGTCAGTGAAGTGACAGTGGACAGCCCCTAGTGGGGTGGCTCCAACATTGCAGGGTTTGAATAAAAAGAGGAAACTGGCACTTGGACCCACAGCATCAGCACGTGTCCAGCGGGGCCTGCAGTGCCTGGGCTCAGGCCAGACTGCCCTCTGGGGCCCCTCTTCTCCCCCTCTCAGTTCTCTTTCCAGACTGCAGGGGCAGGGGGAGGCAGTTCCTAACTTGTCACAGCTGGAGCCAGCTAGTTCAGGACAGTCACCACAATGCCCCATGTTCCCTCCAGCCCAGACGTCCCCGGGCAGCTGCTTCTAGGACCCACCTGAGAAGGCCGTGGGCCGAAGTGCCATTCGTTGCATGGTGTTGCCTGACCACCCGGGCTCCACGCGGCCAGAAGAGCCTGCAGCTGAAGGACAGTGGGGTCAAAGGCCTGTTGGCTGTGCCTTCTGTTCACCCACCGCCATAGCCCCTAGTTTCCTCAGTGCCAAGGAAGACAACCCCAGGGAGGTGGACAATTACTTGGGTCATGCAGCACGAACCGGGCTGAGATGGACCAGAGGAGACAAATTGATGGGGCTGGGGGGTGGGTTAGCAGTGGGGTGGGGGCCATGAGTGAGGTGGGGGTATCTCTAACAACCTTCACAAGCTGCATGGGTTAAGAGTTTAGGGCTACCAGGTTAGGTCACAGCCCTGCCACTTACTGACCCCCAAGTGCCTTACGCTCCCTGGATTTGCCTATCTTCCCATCTATAAAATGGGCTACAAGGCCTCTACACCTCCCAGGCTTGTGTGAGGCCTGAGGACACAGCCAGGGCCTGACGTTCCATCCACAGCGCTGAGATGGTGACTGTCTACCCTGTCCTTGCCCCACTTGATAAGAACAGGCTGAGGCGGATCCAGCCCTGGTTTTAAATGAGAATCAGAAAGAGGCAGCCTGGGCGGGCATGGGGGCCTCCTTCCAGGAGCCCCTCACCCCTACAAGAAGCAGGCTGTCCTGCCTGGTCTGGCCTGGGGGTGGACAGTGCTGCTCACAGCTGGAGGGATGGGCTGGCCAAGCCGGGGCTGGGGCACAGCTGCAGGGCCTTTGCTGCCAGCAGTGGCAACTGTCCCCTCTACACCCCACCCCTGGGCCTGCCTTTTAAGGCCATGAAGTGTCACAGGGGGGAGACAAGACCCAAATAAGGCACAGGCCTGGCAGCTCGGAACAGGCTGTGGGTTGGTGCAGGGAGCGAGAGGCGCCGGGAACTCAAACCAGACGGGCCCCTCTGGCTGGCCCCCTGTGGGGAGGCTGCCAGGCCCCACTCGGGGTCCTTTGCTCAGCTGGAGCTGTACACCAGCACACCCTCCCCACAGGCCTGGGACTTGCCAGGCCCAAGGGGTAAATCTCACCAGGGTGGTGGAGGGTGGAAACTGCCAGTCTGGGACTGGGGCAGGGGCCAGGGCTCTCTGGGCAGCAGGGATGTCCATGGTGACATCCCTGTGCTAAGTGCTTCACACAGCCCGGCTTGGTCTTAACCAATAAGCAGTTGTTGAAGTCAGTAAATGTCTGTGCTCCACAGGGTTTTCCATGGCTGACTTTTCAGAAGTAGATGGCCAGACCTTTCTCCCAAGGCACCTCTGAGTGGATTTGAACCAACAACCTTTTCGTTAGTAGCCAGGCGTGTTAACCATCTGTACCACCCAGGATCTAACTTGGTTTCAGGAAGTAAGTAGCAACAATAGCATGAAGGAGAGGGTCAGCGAAAACGGAGGAAGCCCTCTGTGAGGCGGACTGACACGGTGGCTCTAACGATGGACTCAAGCATAGAAGATTGTGAGGATGGCACATGACCTGGCAATGATTCGCTCTGTGATACGTCACATCCAACTTGACAACCACCACCACCACCACCAGCAGCAGCAGCTAACACCTGTGTAACACTTACCCATGTCTGGCACATTCTAAACAGTTTACGTAAATAGTCTCAACTCATTATCATTCCAAAACCTGTAAGGAAGCACTAGTTTCACCTCCGCTTTATAGTCGGGGAAACTGAGGCACAGGGCAATTTGCTATTACCCATTGCCATCAAGTTGATTTCGACTCATAGACACACACCCCCATTGGGTTTCCGAGGTGATAAATCTTTATGGAAGTAGATTGCCCCGTCTTCCTTCTGAGGAGTGACTGGTAGGGTTTGAACCGCCAACCTTCTGGTTAACAGTCAAATGCCTTAGTCACTGCACCACCAGAGCTCCTTAGTTTGTTATTATCAGGCATCTGACTGCTAACCAGAAGGCTGGCGGTTCAAACCCACCATCCACTCCTCAGAAGGAAGGTCGGGCAATCTACTTCTGTAGTGATACCTCCTCAGACACTCAAGGAGGGGTCGCTATGAGTCAGATCCGATTCGAGTTTGGTTTGGTTTGGATTCCCTTGCTCGGATGAAAGGCTGAGTGAAAAGAACTCATGGTCCATATTCCCCTTAGTGAAGGGTCTCACCCATTGGTGCCCCACCTACAGGTCTTGAGCCTGGATGTGAACCCAGGTTAGTCTGACTCTGGAGGCCCCACGTGGTACAACGGTTAATGTGCTCAGCTGTTTCCAAAAGGTTGGAAACTCGAGTCCACCCAGGGGTGCCTCAGAAGGAAGGCCTGGTGATAGGGTTCTGAACAATCAGCCACGGAAGACCCCACAGGACACAGTTGTGCTCTGCCACACTCGGGGTCGTCGTGAGTCACATGGACGGCAACTGGCTTTCCTGGTTTTGCTCTGATGCCAGGGCCTGACCCTTTCTCTCCTGGGCCACTAGGCACCTCACGTCAGCCTCTCAGGTCCCCACCACTCAAAGCAGAGAGGCCCAGTGTCCAGCAGGAATGCTGGTGACTGAGAAAAGAATGGCCTAACTCAGCCTTCCTCATCCGTTTTGTTCCCAGGTGATGATGTAAGATGCCATTTTATTACTCTTTTCAGGAAGCTGACAAAGCACCGGCCCTCCGTCCATCCCAGTGGGAATCTGGTTTTCATCTGTGATGGAGCATTGGCAGAGTAACATACCCTCCTGCCTCTCTCTGCCCTGTTCTGGTTTTTCTTCTCTCCCCGGCCCTTTCTGCCCTCCAACATGCTGACTACTGTACCCGTTCCTAGTCCACTGCCTGCCATCCGCCCCTGGCTGGGATGCCAGTCCCATCGGGGCAGAAACCCTGTCTGTCTCATTTATTGCACTGCCCCCGTGCCTAGCCTGGCACCCAGAACCCACTGTGGCTGAATGTATGAATCATGGGCTGAAAATGCAGCATTTCAAGCAAACACAGTAAAAAGCAAAATCATGTAGAAGACAGACACAACGGTTTTGAAAATGAGCAAAATTAGATTATAGGATTATCAAATATCCCACTAGGGCATCCTCGGGTTATTAATCTGTGAACTTTTGGTCAGATGTTCCTTTTCCGACTAATTTGCTTTTGGCCATTTCATTGGGAGCCAAAGAGAAGGAGGAAAACTAATGAATGCATGGCCTGACCAGCAGAGCAAGGCAGAACAGGTTCAAAGTCATTGCCAGTTCGAATTAAAATAGAAAGAACAGGAAGTTCAAAGCATTAACAAAATGGTCAGAGAGTAGAAAGTGGGTGTGGATTCAGGGTTCACAAAAATCATCTAGAAGCACTCCCCCAAATTGTGATTAACTAAGGTCAGCAGTACCTGAAGGGGCATACCAGGGTGTAAGACCACCTTACACCCAACCAAGTCATAGCCAGGAAGCAGCCCAGCTGGGGGAAGGTCTCACGGTGATGAGTTTGTCCCCATCTCTCATGCTGGCGTGTGGCCAGAGTCCACCCTCCTCATCTTTTCATTCCCAGTTTAGATATAAAATACCACTTTATTATTCTCTTCAGGGAGTTGAGAAAAAGCACCAGCTGAAAACCCCCCTTGCCCTCCTGGTGGTCCACTCTGAAGGGCCTTTCCCCAGTCCCAACCTCACTCTCTCAGGAGTGTCCTGAAGGCCCAAGCTCCCAGCTGGTCCCAGGACCACAAACCCCAGCCTCATTCTGGGAGACTGACTTCAAGCTTCTTCCCACCACCTGGGAGGTCCCCTCCACACACACACATGTGCGTGTACACAGGCACGCACATGCCACGCTTCCCCACCCTTACAGCTGATGCCTCTGTGTCACCTCCTCCAGGAAGCCTTCCTGGATAGAGCAGGGTGCCTGCCCTGTGCCAAAGCCCTCTTTGAAGCTCTCATCACTTTCTGTGGTGACCTCCCAGGGCCAGTCCCTGATCCTATGCCCTCACAAGCATTCCCCTTCCCTCTGCTCAGTGCCAGGTGCTGGGCCTGAGCTAAGAGGCCTGCATGGCCCTTCTCATTTGATCCTTATGAGACCCCAGGAGACAGATGAGAACACTGAGCCCCACGGAGGAGAAGCTGCCTGCCTAGGCACACAGAGATGGGAGGAGAGGAAAGAGGGATTTGGATCCTATGCCATAGGGCTTCTAAGCTGCGAATGGGGGTGTGAGAACCTGGAGGTGTCGTAGCTCTACCTTGGAGACTTTCTCTCTTAAGAGAAGGGCCTAGAGTGGGGCTTCCCCATTCAAACTTACTCCTCGCTCTACTGCGTCCCCCCACTGTGGACTCAGTTCAGTGACCACAGGCCCCAGGGGATTCAGCCCTCCCAACCAGGTTTCCTTCTGTGAATTTACTTAGCAAACGTAAATATTTGTTCAGCCTGCGGGGGGGTTTGGGTCAGGGCTGGGCTGAGAACTCTCAGAACCCTCCAGCCCCGTCAGAAGGCCTGGGGAAGCCTGAACCTGGGTCTGGCCTGGCCCTCTCTTTGGGGGTAAGGTGAGGTTCTTATTCATTCCCAGAGCACCTCTGGTGTGCCAGGCTTGGGCTGGGCACTAGAGAGCTGGGAATAATGACATCAGGGTGGGGGCCCACTGAACTGGTGGGGACAGCCACTGCCAAGAGCCTGTGAGGTGGGAAAGCAGGCTGGTGTGGGCAGAGGGTATGTGGAGGGAGGGGAAGGCCGCCTGGCTGGGTGTGGAGGGTAGCCTGCAGAGATGGGGAGGCAGGGGCTGGTGAGCCTCCCAGACAAGGCGGGGTGGCTGGATTCCCACAGTGTCAGCCTTTGGGACTCTGAATCAGCAGTTAAGCAAACGTCTGGTACCAGGCCCGGCACCTGGTTAGAGTGTAAGAAATGTGTGTAAAATAGTACCCACCCCTGGATGGTGGAAGATACTGAGAGGCCCTGGAAAGGGCCTGGGATGGAACTTCAAATCTTGTTTGCTGTGTGAGCTTAGGCAAACTTCTTCTCCTCTCTGGTTCCCCATTATGGAGAGGCATTGTAGGCATCCATGGATAGGGAAGTGTGACAGTTAATGTGTCAATGATTCTCCCGTATTGTGTGATTGTCTTCTATTTTGTG